CCTAATTTCTGGAGATTAATAAGGAGGTACACACAACCACAAATTCATGTAAACCTGATATGTTTTTTTAGGGAAAATCAGTATTTAGCTGGAGAAGGCATTCCCAAGGTAGTGGTCACATCCAGTGGTCCAGTGGGAAGTGCTGTGTTTGTGCTCAGTGAGGGGATCTTAACAGCTGATTCCCACCAACCATTCCTTTCAGTTGGGTTGGTGAGCAAGGGCGTGTTCAGTACACACTTTAAATAAAGAGAACCTGGAGATTGTCTGGCATGGAAGACCCAAGCCCTGCTTCCAAAGCCTGACAAGGTCTTTACAAATTCCCCTGTAGATAAGCCTTGAAGAAATTAAAGGTAAAAGTACGTTCACTGCACTACCCTTGAGAAACTATAGTGTTCTGCCAGAAAATGTTTTATCTCCCCTGATGTTGGAAAGTAAGCAATCAGCCTCTTTGCACAGATGACTTTCTGGGGAACAGGGTGTTTGAATGGAAGGGATCAATCCTGTTATTCTGCAGATAGAGAAACTGATGTCTACTTTCACCCACGGCCACAGCCAGCCAGGCTGGCTGGTATAACCCAAGAATAACTTAGAGTCGTGGGAGGCCGAGAGACAGCACCTTAGGAGTTGTCCGCCTTCAAGGGCTGACACAGAACAGAGTCCCTGGGAGTACCTGCTGCTGCTTTCAACCTGCACTCACCTTACTACCTTTTTCTCCAAAGGCAACAACCTGGACTTAATTTCTTCAGAGAAGATATGTGCGTCTCAGCCCTTGTCCCTGCAGCTGTAACATTTTGTAAGCCTGGTGGTGGTGGGGGGGAGCTTTCTCCTCTTCATTCTGACATGTGCACAGGGGTTGTAATCAATAGAACCTAGAATGATGCTCAACATTTGCAGAGGGGCTGTTTATGTACTGTTTTTGTCATACCTCATTTAAAGCTGAGTTTTAAAATTTTTATTATTTTATTTTTTCAACTACATTTATTGGGGTGACATTGGCTAATAACAGTATCTAAGTTTCAAGTGTACAGTTCTACAACACATTGTATGTACTAGTATATTGCATTGTGTATTCACCACCCAAAGTCTAATCTCCTTCCATCACCATATATTTGATCCCTTAAGGGGTCAAACGGAGACTTCCAGGCTTCAATCTCCCCCTATCCTGCAGCTGAGTTTTCAAATTAAGTAAACAAATTAAGTAACAAAACAGAAAAAATACTGGGTGCAATCCAGATCTTTGTGAAATTCTCTTTCAGGTGTGTGTGTGTGTGTGTGTGTGTGTGTGATGTGTGATGGTGTGTGTGTGTGTGTGTGTGTGTGTGTGATGTGTGATGGTGTGTGTGTGTGTGTGTGTGTGTGTGTATGTGTGTGGCAGGTCCTGTATGTGTGTTGAAATGATTCTCAGCAAGATTTACAATAGCAAGGGATGCATTATTTTTAACTATATTTTTTTAACTAATAATATTTAACTTAACTTTATGCTAATGCAATTCAAACAATTCAGTGGAGGTTCGTGTTTGTTTTTTTTTAAAGCTGAAAAAATGTACTTAAACAAGGAAATATGCCTCATCCCTTCCTGTGTCCTGGAATCCCCTTATTACCTTTGTCAGCTCATTCCTCAAAATGATGGGTATCAAAACTGAAAATTTTCGCAAGAGCAAGTTTAATCTTGCCACGCAATCAGAAAACGTGAAATGGATGACTAAGACTCTAGAGGCAGTGTTCTTCAGAGACTGTAACTATCCCCCTTGAGATTTATGGATAAGCAGCTTATACCTTTTACCCATACATCTTTCTTTCATCCAGTCATTCATCATTAACTAAAGTCGGCTACTTAGCAAAAGGCACACAGTGTTTTGCAGGACTTCATGGGCTGGAACAAAGTGACAAGAACAAAAGGACAGCTGCAGAATTCGGGGGAAGCCAGGCGGAGCCAGCAACCCTTTTCAGACCCAGCAGGGCACGCTAACCGATGGCCTCCCCAAGGCTGTGGATGGAAGTGGTGCTGTAGGAGGGCATCAGTTAAGGTAAGTCCCGAGGAACCCGGGAGTGACTTCAGCATCCAAACGGAGAGGTTCGAGCCTGCGATTGTTCATGGTCACAACTCATTTAAAGCTGAGTTTTCCAAAATATGGGCTGGCTACAGTATGAAGAGATTAAGGGTTGTAACCGGCACTTAGAAAAATGGAACAGAAGAACAGAAGAGATCAGAGTGCATTCTGGGTGCTCCATAAAAGTTTCTTTGCGTTTGTGTGTTTAGGTGTGAGAATGCACACGCGTGCGCACACACACACACACACAATGCCGTTCTTACTATGGATTATAGCAAAAAAGTTTGAAATCACTGCTCTAAGCAGGAAGTGTGGGAAGCACATCTCCAGATCCCGCGATGTGTCCTGGGGCTCTGACACTGCCTGGAGAAAAGCTCAGAAGAGGCTTCAGGGAAGGCTTTTGTGCGCCTTGTCTACAGAGCAGGGACAGGACTGAGACATGGGCACCGGGCGCCGGGCCCTGTTCTGAGGCTCTTGCCCTCACCCCCCCTTACACACCGGCGTCCCAGTGACCCTTATGATAGGTTCTGTGATTCCCACCCTCACTCCACAGCGAGGGAAATCAGGCCGAGTCAGGGCCGAACCCCCCGTTAGCGGCACAAACAGAGCACTTGACGCAGTGCCGCTCTGGACTTCCCTGTCTTGGCACAGTCGGTCCCCGTAACTCTCCCAAGGTGCTTCGTGGCGCTCTGATGTTTGATCGCACCATTCCCCGCACTGAGAAAGCTCACATCACTGTCTGTCCATCCCCGTCCTCGCCACACGGATGTACTTACTGCCTGCTACGTGCCTGGGGCTGTTCTCCCCACTTTATATAGACATCTTTTTCCATTAAACAGCAGAAAATTAAACACGGGTGACGTTTGATTGTCTAATCTGTTGGAAAAAAAGACACCACCCACTGTTTTCTAACCCACCACATTGCCTTCACACTCACTGATGGGGTAACCCACTTTGAAATTCTTTAGCCTGTGTCTACCAACAGGGAGACGACTTGAGAAGGCCTTGGGTGCGCCCCTGTAAATTCTGGCATTATTTTCTCACAGGAAAGCCAGCCCCACCCTGTGCAACAGTTCACCGGTGTCACCGTTCTGACTGGCCTGTTTCACCCGAGGGCAGCCTCCACCCACTGCTCACCGAGGGGGTCAGACAGCCTCCCCGCGATGTGCCAGCCGGGCCTGTGGGTCACTTTCAGCTGAAGGCGATCGAGACCCTAAGGCCCAGAGGAACGTTTACTTCTCCCTTAAAGAATGTAAATGGAGACCAGACAGACCAGAAATAATGTCTCTCTCACCTCTCTACAGGGCAGCGGAGACTTCCAAGTGCTGAACACCTGGTCTTCAATGGCCTCCTCCCCTCTGGAGCCTCAGGCACCTCCCTCATCCTTCGCTCAGAATGTCACAGACACCACCTTTCAACCCTCAGTCTCTGGCTCCCGTGTGGGCGGCTCCCATAGTTATGCATGTATTAATTTTGGTTATTGTCTATTTCTAATTTGTCTCATGTCTATTTGATTACAGAACCTTGAGGAGACGTTGGCTCCTTGTCCACACTCTTCTTGGTGATAACCCTTTGAAACATTTTCTGCTGTTTGGGGTGTAGTCGATCTTTGCTTTTATCACGTTAGAGAGGCTACACAGAGATGTGCGAAGGAGCCACCTCTTCAAGGAGTGGGTTGTTCCCCACCAAAGCCTTCCTTCTCGCTGCAGCCAGGCCCTCTCCTTCTTCCTTTTCTTGAAAACACTTTAAAGCTCCATGCAGTGGTGGTGTGGGGCACCCAGCCAGGCTCAAACATTTTGGGGCGTTTTAACACCAAGGAGAGAAGGGGAAGGAGGGGAGAAAGAGGGAAGGGGAAAGGGAGGGAGGAGGAAAAAGGAGAGGAGCAAGAAAGGTGTGGATGAAAAAGCAACTTTTCTCTGGAAAGTAAGCTCACAGGTGATCTGATCATAAATTCCTAACTGGGCAGGTCATGGTGGGTAGTCACAGCCCAGGCCTATAGCTTCTTTACTGGAAGGTTTTAAGCCAGCTCTGCCCATTGCTCCTGTGCATCCAGGTTAATACACCCCTGAAATGCCAGCAGTAAGACCCCTTGAGTGGAGTATTCACCCTCAAGAGAGCACACAATCCTGTTAACTATCCTGTAATCCAGTTGCCACCTTGTTTTCTCCAATCTTCCTTATTTCCTCTTCTTAATTTCAAGCGCATAAAATAAACTGCAAAACTCCTATTTTTAGGAGCATCTGAAATCTTGCCCCCGGCATATATCCTGTTTGGCTCCAATAAATGCTCACAAAAATTCTCCACAGCTTTGGATGCTTCTTACATAGACAAAGGGAGGGAGAGAGGACTGAGGTAGAGGGGGCAGGAGCAAGAGATAGGGGAAGAAGAGGAAGGAGAAGGGAGAGGGAGCAGGGGAGGGAAAGAAGGGAGGCAGGGGAGAGCTCACACTCTCCAGAGGGGCAGGGGTGGCGTGGCTCCAGGACTCTGAGAGGCCTGGATGCAGCTGAGTCAGGGTTCCAGCTCCTGCACCTGTGAACCTACAAAGCAAGCCCTGCCCCTGTGAGCGGGGAAGGCCTTATTTACAGTAGCTTGTTTATGCTTAAACATTTTCATATGACTTGTTGCTTTTTTTATATAAACTGACTTTTGGTTGGGGTTCAGTAATCTTTTTGCTATATATATATATATATTTGTATATATATAATGTATATTTACAATATACATACATGAAACTGACAATCATGAAAGCAATAAACTGTTCTTAGTAATGTCTCTGAGTAAGATTTACACCTATTACCTTTCAATGTGTATTACATATGTATAATATATTACATATATAATTTCTGTAACATGCTAAACAGTAGTAAAAATAATAATAGCAGTTGCAAAGGCAAAAGAGACTAAGCTATGTAGACCCCCTGGCTGGTATAACCCTTCTGAAGCAATTACCTGTGTAAAGGAACGTGTTGGTGTGTCCTCCCACCACGACGTCCACGCCCCTCACTTTCTGAGCGATGAGTTTATCCATTTCAAAACCAGAGTGTCCCAGGGCAATAATTTTGTTCACATTGAGGGTCGTGAGCTTATCTACTTGCATTTGCAATGCAGGGATTTCATCTTCAAATACTAAATTTGGCCCTAAAAGGAACAAAACAAATACAATGGATATGTATTAATACTTTTTATTATACTACTTATTGTACACACTAACATGCTAAGTAAAAACATCTTAATCTGCTAAAGCTCTTAAATGACTAAGGCCAACACATTTTATTTATTTACTTTCTTAAAAAATATTTTTATTGATTTCAGAAAGGAAGGGAGAGGGAGAGAGAGACAGAAACATCCATCAGCTGCCTCCTGACGCCTCCTACTGGGGATCAAACTTGCAACCTGGACATGTGCCCTGACCGGAATTGAATCTGGGACTCTTCAGTCCACAGGTTGCTGCTTTATCCACTGAGCCAAACTAGCGAGGGTGCCAACACATAGTTTTTAAATTAAATATAAAATCGCTACAAAGCCCCTTTCTGCCCATCCAGGTTATTGATTCTCAGTTACATTCACTTAATGTTGCATTCGTTTAAGGTTGCGGATGATATTATGTTGCTCAAAATTCAAGCTCAAATTATGAGGAGGCTTCAGACCTGCAAGCCTATTTTTGTTTTCTATTCTATTTTTATATGTAGACTTCCTTTACACCAATGCAGAAAATGCTAAGGCTTTGTTTGCAAGTTTAGGATAATCAGTCTTAAACTTACAACTGTCAGCAACCAGTTCTTGTATGCCAACCTTAACACGCGGGCTGACAACGCCGTTCTGCTCACTGGCTAAGGTCAGCATGAGGGTATCACTGAGCTCTGCATAGACAGGGGTCCCATCTGGGTATTGAGAGTGCTCATCTTCACTGGCTGCCTACTCCCCCCACAGTGGGGACAGACCACTGCCCGTTGGCAAGTGTGGGTGTGACTGCACAGCCTTGCCCTCTGTGAGCTGCCAGGTTGTGCTACTAAGTGTGGCAAGACCACCAGTCTCTGTCTCTGCAGCCAGGCCTCAGCAAGCCTTGAGGTCTTATGGCCTTTCTTGGCACAGAGTGATTGCAAACACAGACAGACACACTGCCCTGGAGTCACACCCAGCACCCAGTCACCAAGGAGTCCTCCAGATCGTCTAGACCAGTGATGGCGAACCTGTGACACGCGTGTCAGAGGTGACACGTGAACTCATTTTTTTGGTTGATTTTTCTTTGTTAAATGGCATTTAAATATATAAAATAAATATCAAAAATATAAATCTTTGTTTTACTATGGTTGCAAATATCAAAAAATTTCTATATGTGACACGGCACCAGAGTTAAGTTAGGGTTTTTCAAAATGCTGACACGCCGAGTTCAAAAGGTTCGCCATCACTGAGACTCCTGTAAGCAAAATTTCTAATAATCATCACTAAAATGAAATTGCTGAAGCATGAATAATATCTTGTAAAGAACTTTCAAAACCCAGGAGCCTGACAGCTCTAGTGGGTAAAAGTGTTCATCTCTTGCCTTGACCGGTTTGGCTCAGTGGATGGAGCGTCGGCCTGCGGACTGAAGGGTCCCAGGTTCGATTCTGGTCAGGGGCATGTGCCTTGGTTGCGGGCACATCCCCAGTGGGCGGGGGGGGGGGTGCAGGAGGCAGCTGATCGATGTTTCTCTCTCATCGATGTTTCTGACTCTATCCCTCTCCCTTCCTCTCTGTAAAAAAATCAATAAAATATTTTTAAAAATTATATATAAAAAAAAGTGTTCATCTCTTCAAAGACCAGCAAGACTGAAATGAAACCCATCCCTGTGACGGGAGCAGCTGAGACAGTCCGTCAGGCCTGCTGCTGGGACCGCATCCTTCTGAGTCGGAGGAACACTTCTAAAACATTTCAAAAGCCCGTGATTGTACTCCACCCTGTGGCTCCACACGACCTCAGCAGCATCTATACACTGTGTGTCATGCAGTGTGCAAAGGTGTGGTCACCCGCGGACCAGCTGTCTACCTGCTGCCTGGAGTCCATGACCGTTCCCACCTCCCCTCAGTGGATCTTGACCCATGCTGCTCAGGGTAAAGTTCAGCTGACCTTTTTGTTGTTTCCAATGGCCTGGACCTATTTTAACAGCAACAATAAATATATTGCTTTCCTAATTGTTAAATAATTATACGTCCTTTAGCAGTTAATTCTTTTAAAAATCTTATGTTTACTGATTTATTGGGGTGACATTGGTTAATGAAATTATATAGGTTTCAGGTGTACAATCCTATAATCCATCATCTGCATATTGTACTGTGTATTCACTACCCCAAGTCAAGTCTCCTTCTGTCACCATTTATCCCCCTTTTACCCTCTTCTAACCCCCCCAACCCCCTTTCCCTCTGGTAATCACCACACTGTTGTCCGTGTCAGTCAATTTTGTTTTCTTTACTTAATCCCTTCACCTTTTCACCCCCCACTAAGTCCCCTCCCCTCTGACAGCTGTCAGTCTGTTCTCTGTATCTATGACTGTTTCTATTTTGTTAGTTTAAGTGAAATCATGGTACTTGTCTTTCTCTGACTGGCTTATTTCGCTCAGCATAATACTCTCTAGGCCCATCCATGCTATCCCAAAAGGTAAGATTTCCTTCTTCTTTTTTATGGCCGAGTAGTATTCCATTGTGTAAATGTACCACAGCGTCTTTATTCACTCGTCTACTGATGGACACTTGGGCTGCTTCCAAATCTTGGCTATAGTAAACAGCTGCTATGAACATAGGGTGCATATATTCTTTCAAACTAGTGTTTCAGGTTTCTTCGGTTATATTTCCAGAAGGGGAATCACTGAGTCATAAGGCAGTTCCATTTTTAATTTTCGGAGGAAACTCCATACTGTTTCGCACAGTGGCTGCACCAGTCTGCATTTCCACCAGCAGTGCACGAGGGTTCCCTTTACTCCACATCCTCGCCAACTCCTGTTGTTTGCTGATTTATTGATGGTGGCCATTCTGACAGGTGTATCAATTAATTCTTGATGAAAATCCTTATTTCTGATAGCTCCTAGTTTCCCTTTTTTCTTCAAATATGGAAAGAAAATTAATTTGGAGAATTTAGAAAAAATGTAATTCTCACTGGTAGTGTTTCTGTGAAAGTGTTCCTTCCTATAAAAGTGGCTCAGAAATGTTTCTTGAATGGTCTTAGGGTTATACATAAAAGCTTGTGTATAGTGTATATAAAGATATGGCAGATATATGTCTTCTAAATATATATATATAGATGTAG